TGCCGTCATCCTATTGCAATACCGTCATTGCCCATGGTGCGAGAATTGGAGCAGGTTGCACTTGCAGTTAGTTGTTCGTAGTACACTGTCGCTCCACAGAACTCATGGCAACACTGTCGCTCCAGCGCGCCAGATTTTCTTGTGGCCCCCTTCTTGTCACGTGCCCCTTTCCGGATACCGTATTTCCATCACCTCCGCTTCTGTTTAAAACACATTCCGACTCCTTTCCCAACAACGCTCGACAACGATCGACGTGTGCGCCTCGAATGCTTCAAACGCCGCCTAAAATCTTCCAGCGCTATGGAGCGAGACTCGGTCCCTTCGTGCGCCGTGCACACGGGCTCGTTCCACGGTGGCAGGAAGCAACCGTGTTTAAAACACGTTGCAAACCAACACCGTCTGGCGACGGCCCGATCCTCTCGTCCGGATACGGAGGCCGGGCTGCGCTCAACCATTGTGTGATTTCTGCGAGAATGGACGCGCTGCAAGCCAAGGTGCAGGCGCTGAACCTCAAGTCCCAGGCCGAGGACCGCGCTGCGATGGACGCCGAGACGCAGGCCGCTGCGGCGCAGAGCTTCTACATCACGACGGCCATCCACTACTCGAACGGCGTGCCGCACATTGGCCACGCCTACGAGAACGTGACGGCCGACGTCATTGCGCGCTACCACCGGGCGTATGGCCGCGACGTGCGCTTCCTCACGGGCACGGACGAGCACGGGCAGAAGATCGCGCAGACGGCCGAGGCCGCGGGCATGACGCCGCAGCAGCTCTGCGACAAGTACTCGGGCCTCTTCCAGCAGCTCACAAAGGACCTCAACATGTCGAACGACGACTTTATTCGGACGACGAGCGACCGCCACAAGAGCTTTTGCCAGTACATCTTTGGCCGCGCGCAGGCGAACGGCGACATCTACAAGGGCACGTACGAAGGCTGGTACAACGTGCGCGAAGAGACCTTTGTCACCGAGAACGAGGCCGCGCAGACCAACTACAAGGACCCGACGTCGGGCCTCGACCTCAAAAAGATGCAGGAAGAGTCGTACTTTTTCAAAATGTCCAAGTACCAGAAGCGCCTTGTCGAGCACTTCCACGCGCACCCCGAGTTTCTTCAGCCCGAGACCGCGCGCCAAGCCATCCTCAAGCGGTATCCCTCCCTCCTTCCCTTGATCCATGTCGAATTCGTCTTGTAGCTTGGAAGAGCCATTGCACGACCTCTCGGCGTCGCGCACGACGTTCTCGCACGGTATCCCGCTCCCGGACGACCCCAAGCACGTCATGTACGTCTGGTTCGATGCGCTCTCCAACTACCTGAGCGCGCTCGACTACCCGAACAACAAGGAGCTCTCCAAGTTCTGGCCCGCGAGCGTCCACATCATCGGGAAGGACATTACGTGGTTTCATACGGTCATCTGGCCGTGCATCCTCATGTCCGCCGGCTTCCCGCTCCCGAAGCGCGTCTTTGCCCACGGCTTTATCAACGCCAAGGACGGTACGAAGATGTCCAAGTCGATCGGCAACGTCGTCGACCCGTACGACATGGTGGCCAAGGTCGGCCTCGACTCGTTCCGGTACTTTGTGGTGCGCGGTGCGCGCTACGGCGCCGACATGCCATTCTCGGAAGACGAGCTCATGGCCATGCACAACTCGGACCTCGCCGACACGCTCGGCAACCTCGTGCACCGCGGCCTCACGCTCAGTGTCAAGTACGCCGACGGCACGATCCCCGACGCAGTCGCGACGCCGTGCTTTGACGTGGCCGCGCTCCGGGCCGCGACTGAGGACGCGTACCAGAACTACAACCTCCAGGACGCGTGCATCGCGTTCATCGAGGCGGTGAAAGAGACCAACAAGTACCTCACGGACGCCGCGCCGTGGCACATGACGGACGCGGCCGCCAAGCTCGTCGTTGTTCGCACGGTGCTGGAAGCGGTCTACATCTTTGCGCATTTCATGACGCCGTTCATGCCCGGTACGGCCGACGCGATCTTTGCCAAGCTGCACACGCAGCCCAAGACGCTCACGCAGCTCTCGTCGTACTTTGACAACCTCACGCACGGCACCCCGATCGTCGTCGGCGACATTCTCTTCCAGAAGGTGCTCTCCGACGCCGAGAAGGCGGCGCTCGAGGCCAAGAAGACGCCGGCGCCGGCCCCGGTCAAGGCCAAGAAGGTCGAACTGCCGCTCTTTGCGTCGACCGAGATTCGCGTTGGCACGATCACCAAGGTGTGGCCGCACCCGGACAGCGACAAGCTCTTCTGCGAGGAGATTGACGTGGGCCGTGACGCGCCGGTGCAGATTGCGTCGGGTCTGCGCCCGTTCTACAGCGCCGAAGAGATGACCAACCGCAAGGTGCTCGTGCTCCTCAACATCAAGGCCGCCAAGCTCGCGGGCTTCAAGTCCAACGGCATGGTGCTCTGCGCGTGCAACGAAGCCCGTGACGTGATCCAGTTTGTCGAGCCGCCGGCCGGCGCCGTCAACGGCGAGCGCGTCACGATCGCGACCGAGTCGGGCGACCCGGTGTCGGAAGGCCAGATGAAGAAGCAAAAGGTGTGGGAGAAGCTCGCTATCGACCTCAAGACCAACGACAAGGCCGAAGCGACGTACAAGGGCGTTGTCATCATGACCTCGGCCGGTCCCTGCAAAGCCGCGTCGCTCACCAACGTGTTCATCAGCTAAGCGTGAGTTCACGCCTCACATGAGTCTTCTTTGCCCATTCCATTTTGTATGTTTAATCACCGCATGGACGGTGGATCGAGCGCGGCAACGCGAGGTAAGGGGCGCCCCGGGCTGCGCGCCAAGGTCGCTCGCAGCGTCGCGTAGTCGCCGAGCGCGGCTTCGTCGATGGCCACCACGGGCCGCGCGTCGAGGCGCGGGTAGAGCTCGGGGCGACTCGTGGCCGCACGGCCCTTCTTGTCCTGCTTGGTTGGTGAGTGCATGGCCGGGAGGCGCAGCTTGACGGCGTCGCACTCGTCGCTGAGCTGCGTCGGCCGCGAGGCAAGTATCGCGGTCGTGCGAGGCGATCGGTGCTGCTTGAAGTGGTGGACGGCCATGTGCACGCGGGCGGTCATGGCGAACGGGTTGGAGACGCGGGGCGTCGCTTTGGGCAGCGGCAGCGAAGGGACGTCCGTCGCTGGCACCTTGCGCGCGGGCGCGTTCGGGAAATGGACGCAGGGACGGGGCAGCATGCGGTAGAGCGAAGCGGACTTGGGCGTCTTGAGCACGACCGGGTCGACGTCCTTCTCGGCCGGCAGCGTGTGCGCGCCGCCGTCCGTGTCGAGGATCTGCCAGCGCGACCCGACGTACGCGGCCGACGCCACCTACGCGAATGGTCATTTGATCGAGAAGTGGGTCGTACCTTGAAGAGCGGTCCGTCGTCGTCTTCGACAAAGATGCGGCCGACGAGTCCGGAGAGGAACTCGTGCCGGTGCCACGCGTGGTCAAAGAGCACGCTCAGCGCCATCTCGGTCACGACTCGCGCGTTGTCGTAGCCCTCGACGTTGCCCTTGTTGCGGCTCACGCTCGTAAGCGTCAGCACTGCGCCAATGAGCCCGAGCTCGTCCTTCCGGAACCAAACGTCTCCGACGGCCGGCGGCGCGTTCAAGCGGAGGCCCCGCAGCTCCTTTTGATAGAGCTCGATGGCCTTGGGCGGACCCTAACCCAGCATCCTCTCGTATGAGACACTTCAACATCGACGACAGCAAGCTACGAGCGTCGCGGCGCACGTCGACACGTTGGGGCTGCGCGGGTAATCGCAGTCGCGCAGCTTGGCGTCGTCGAGGCGCCAGTGGTCGTGGCCAAAGAGCCCGATGAGGCAACCGCCGAGCGTCCAGAGCTTGATGCTGGCCATCGACTCGGCCGACGTTGTGAGCAAGAAGGTCTCGAGGACGGTGCCCATTTCGACATAGTCGAGCGCCGCGATCGAGGTTTCGTGCGCAGCCCACGCGTGCACGTTCTCAACGCAAAGCGGGAGTCGCCCCGGGCACCCGAGCCGAAACACTTGAACGTGGCCGTTCGAGAGGCCCGTGAAGAGGAGCTCGCCGTCGACGTCGCAGCGCGCGACGCGGACTTCAAGAAGCGCATCGTCTTGCCGTAAATCGACAGTCGCATGCACAAAGGTGTGGCGCGGGTTGATGAGAAGCAGCGTTGCGTTCGTGGTGACGCCAACGAGGAGACCGAGTTTGGGCGGGTACATGAGCGCTTCGATTCCTACGAGAGATTGGGCGTGAGCGAGAGTAGGCGAAGCGCGCGTCACCGCTTGAGAACTGGAACTTGTGCATGAGGTCGCCCGAGTTGAGGCCCCAGAGAATGACTACGATAGCCCATCATGCACCGCAGAGGACGAACGAAAGCGCACCACAGCCGTCGACGCCGCCCGTTGCGATGCTCTTGGGCGGGCAAAAGGTCAGCGAGAGCACGTCGTCCGTGTGCCCCGTCGCCCGCTTCTCGGGCATGCGGCGGAGGTACTCGGTTGCATTCGAGTCGTTCCAGAGGTACACGCGGCGGTCCCAGCCCGTGCACGCAAGGTACTTGGTCTGCGCAAAGCCACGCCCAGACGAGAACGGAATCGACGTCGTGATCGAGAGCACGCTCGTGATTTCGTTCGACTTGGACGCCATGCACCGGGGCACACGGGGAATATGCACGCTCTGCGTGTGCAGGCTTGGCGGCAGCTTCATGCGGCCGGCATCGTCGTCGAGCTCGGCGCGGTTGAAGTGCAAGAGGGCATCGAGGTGGTGGTCGTCCTTCTCCTTCTTGAGCGTCGTTAGGAGACTCCCGTTGCTAAAGTTCCATAGCTTGACGTCGTCGCCGGCGTGGCTGCCCGTGATGAGCCGGCGACCCGACTCGTCCAGCGCCTAAGACCTTGTCAGTACTGTCGTACTGCAGTGTGAATGTAATGATTACGGCGGCGGTGATGGTCGAGTCGGAGATGTCAAAGTTGGAAATCATAGAGCCGTCGAGGAGGTTCCAGAGCACGACATGCGCGTTCGTGTCGATGCTCACGACTTGCTGAAACGAGGGGTTGAAGAGGAGCTTGCAAATCGGGTGTTCGTGCAGCTGCAGCGCTTCTTGGACGCCAACCATCGGATGCAGCGGCCAGTCGTTCAGCGCGCTCGACGCCGTGATCAAGTGCTTGTAGCGCGCGTCGAACGTGAGGAGACTCACCTTGTGGCGTTCGTGGGACGCGTCTTCGATCACCTGATTGCACTTGCAGTTTTTCACGTCCCAGACGCGCACTAGCAGGAGCAGTTGCGCTTGGAACTCGTGCACTTGAGAACGTACCGAGGCCGTCAAAGCCGAGGCTCAGGAGGCTGTACGACGCGGTGTTCCAGATGACTTGTTTGATCGAGCACGTGTGCCCCACGAGCCGTCCCACGAGCCGGATCGAGTACGGGCTCCACAGCAACACTTGACGCTCGAGGCCGCAGCTCGCAATAAGCTTGGGCTCCTTGCACCACGCAAACGAGTAGACGGCGCCCCGGTGCTGCCGAAAGTCGCGCTTGAGTGTGCCCCGGGTGATGTCGACGACCTAGTCGTCATCAAACCGACTACACTATCTTGTCTATTGTACATACCTTGATCGAGCCGTCGTGGGACGCCGAGACGAGGCAGTTGAGGTCCGCGACAAACTCGAGGCACGTAATATAGTCGGTGTGGCGCTCGGTCCGCGCAATCTTGCAGCCGTCGAGCGTCGGGCTGCTGTGGCAGCCAATTTCACCGTCGCAAATGTGCCACGTCGTCGGCTCGTCAAATGTGATTTGCGTGACGCACCCGACGTCGTCGCCAATGAAGAGGCTCTCGCGCATGCTGCCTTCGTCGACCATCGTGCTCAAACTCAACGGCGTCGCATGCTCCAACTCGGAAAACGGAAGTTTGGACACGAGTTTCTTGTCCGGCGTCGAGAGGTCGTAGAAGACGACGCCGGCTTCCATGGACGCGATGGCCACCTTGCCGCTCACGCGCAAATAGACCATACTCGAGACCCAGTCCGACTTGTTCCTCGTCGTCTTGAACGTGTGCAGCGGCGCGCTCAGCGCCGTCGGTGCGAACGTCGAAATGACGCCGCCGTGGGTGCACGCGAGGTAGTGGCCACTGCGCGGCAGCGTCTCGATCGCGACAAAGACGTCGCGAGCCCGATGCGTCGTAACGGGCGTCTCCTCGGCCACCTAATAGGGCGTCATCCTCCGATTGCTATTGCTGTTGAAATATTGCTATCGGTGTACATAGTCATCGCGGGGCAGGAAGGCGGCAGTCGTGGTCGCAGACGCGTCTTTGGTCGCGTTGGCGTTGAGGAACATGAAGTTCGTGAACTCGTCCCAGTCGACCGTTCCGTCCGAGTTGGCGTCGATCTTCATAAAGAGCTGCGAGATCTGCGTCGGCGTCCAGTGGTCGCCGCCGAGGATCGAGCCAAAGTGCGCCACAAACTGCTTCTCGGTGAGCGCCGAGTCTTGCTCAAAGACGCCGTGGAGCTTCATGAGTTCGCTGAGCCTGAACATGGATTCGTTGAGGCTGAAGCTCCCGAGGTTGGACACCGGTGGCTCGTCCGTGCCATCGGCGCTGCTCGGTCGCAGTCCGCCCACCATGCTCGGCGTTTCCAGCGACAAGCGATCTTTCGCAGCCTATGATTAGACGCCTCCGGAACGCGTTCCGGTTGACACCCTCACCATCAATGACGACATCTCACCGAGTAAAAGACTAGGGGTTGGAGGCGACAGACTAGGTTACGGTGTTTAAACCGTCGTGGGCTCAGCTGCCTGGCCCGTCTGACCATCCTAACGCGCCACAGCTCTCGGCAACCCAGAGGTAAATCCGCCGTGTATTGTGGTGAACCACCCAGTATTGCTCTACGAGTTTACGTACGATAGCCATTGAACTCTGCCCACCTCGTTCGTTCAACCACAATACGCGGGTCAGCCAAGGTTGTAGCTATTGATAGACAGGCGGTTGGCTATTTCAATCGCCGCCTCTCAACGCTCAACGGTCGTCGCCGTGGCGCAAGATGGAGCCCGAAATGGCGCAAGGAAGTACGTCCGAGGCGAGCCTCGAAGTGGACGTCATCGCGATGCCTGCAATACGCCTACCTCCGTTGCCAGGAGCCTCTGCACCACCTTTGCCCGAGCCTCTCGAGCTACTCGAGTCGCCGCCAACTCTTCCCACAGACACAACAACAGATCTTAGAGACGAGAATCCCGAGCCGCTGGTGCCATTGACGAGCAACAGTGATCCACCAAGCGCCGGCTCGGAAGACGAGGTCGTGTCCGACAACGGGCCTGACGAGGGCGCTTCTACAAGCGTCCTACCCAACGACGAAATCGCCACGGACACTGTCGACGACGGCGCGACAGATACCCCAACAGAGGCAGACGCCGCAAGCAACGATTGGACAGAGTACGAAGGCGACACTCTGCAAGCCGACGACACGTCAAGAGACGTGCCGAGCGAACCAACACTTGAAGGGAGCTACTTCGCTGAGCAAACCGAGCCAGCGCCAGAGAGCCCTGACTTTGACGTTGACGGGCCAACCGAGCCAGCGCCAGAGAACACCGACATCGAGCCAGCGCTCGAGGAGGGCAACCCTGGGGCGTGGAGCGACGATCCTGCACTTGGCGACACCGAGAGCACTACGGAGTGGGCGGCGGCCCCAGGTATCGACGCGATAAACGCAAAGGACCCGCCGACAGAAGAGAATGGCGACGAAAGCCAATGGGCGACCGACGAGACAGGCGCTTGCCTCGATGTACCGGAAGCTCCGAATGACACTCTTGGCGATAACTACGGCGGCCAAGTCGTCGCGAATGAAACCGAGTGGGTCGACAGAGCAGCTGACCAAGCGGATGCGTACCCAGATCCAGCAGCCGACGGCGTCGCGGACGAGTGGCCGAATCCAGAACCAGACGCCGTTTCAAATGACGTCGACAACTCTCAACTTTGGCCAGGTCAAGAAAATATAGACGAAGGCCAGGCCTTCAGCGCCATGGACGAAGCAGCCAGCCCCGAGGATACTCTGAACGAAGCGCCGGGGTGGTCATCGCTGGATCCAAACGGGTCGTGGGCAAATGAACCTGGTCGCGCGGTCGGCTGGTCGTCGTTCCATCCCGATTCTACGTGGGCAGACGAAGCCAGCGCTCCTCCGTTGGCCCCAGTAGAACCAACGGCGTCGATGCCGACAGACTTCGCCGGGACGCGCAACCGTCCTGGCTCGGCCAAAAAGGTACTCACGCGCGTCGAAATGATCAAGTACGCCAAGGACTTTGCCGCCGCCGAACGTCTCGGCGCGGGCAAGTCGTTCTTCAAGACGACGATGAAGGACATCGCCGAGCTCGGCGTCGGCCTTCAGCTCTATTTTCTCTTCACCAAGTACATGGGTCTCTGCTTCGTCGTCATGTCGGTGCTGGCATTACCCGCGCTCGTCATGCACGCGTCGGCCCGCGGCATCGACACGCAGATGATCGACCCGATGCGGCTCGGTGTCTTGACGATCGCCAACGAGGGCGTCAACTCGACAGCGAACGCGACCACCGAGTGGTGCGCCGGCAACCCCTTCACGGACGACCCGCACACCGTGAGCTACCTCATCACGGCCTGCGACGTTCTCTATTCGCTGACGTTTGCCGGGTTCATGTGGTTTTTCAAGGTACGTTGAGGCATGTAGATCAGAATCGTCTCAGCATATTAAGTAGATCACGGCGAACCAAGTCATCGCCCGCAACGCCGAGGCGATTACGCCGGCAAAGTACGCCGTGTACGTGCGCGGCTTGCCACCGTCGGCGACCCAAGAAAGCATTTTGCAGCACTTCAACGCCCGCTACGACCCAACGACAGAGAGGAAGGAGTACCCGATGAAGCTCGGCTGCTGGGGCCGGCCGCGAGCACCCAAGGTGCAGGCCGATTTGACGCGCGGCGGACGGCTGGCCAAGCCCGTCGACAGTACGGAGCACCTCTCGCACCCGCACGAGATGTACCTGCGCACGTACGTGGCCGAAGTGAGCATTGCACACCCGACGGGCGGCCTGCTGCGAACCTTTTTGGCGATGGAGTACCTCACGGCCAAGGCCGCCGAGCTCAACGATATTCTCAAGACGCTCCAGATGCTGCCGGCAACGGACGCGGCCAACCGCGCTGAAATCACAACCAAGTAGTACATAACTGCCTCTCACTGTCGTATCGAAAGTGAGTAGGATCGAAGCGCAGCTCGAAAAAGTGACCGACACCCTCGAGAAGAAGACGAGCAAGCTCAAGGAGCTCCGCGAGAACCGCGCCAACAACCTCACCGACTGCGACTGTGCCTTTGTCGTCTTCAACAGCGTCGAAGCCCAGCGGCGGTACCATCTCGCCGCAAGACGTTTCTGACTACTGGAGCAGGTGTCTGCGTGACTACCGCACGAGCCAGTACAGTTTGGCGCGGCGGTTCCAGCCCAAGGAACTTCGGTTCCAGGGCACGCACGCGCTCTGGGTGCAACAAGCGCCCGAGCCCTCCAACATCATTTGGGAAAACCTCGAAGTGCCCGTGCGAGAGCGACGTCTTCGGTGCGTGGAAACTTCTTCTGCCACGACGCGACTGGTGGCTAGGCGGTACTTGACCAACTTTGTGACGTTTTTGCTCTTGTTGGTGTCGTGCGCGGTCATTTCGCTGGCGCAGAGGCAAGCGAAATGTATCAATGTTTCAACGTGCCACGTGTGTGTGTTTTAGTGCGCAAGCCACGTTTGCAGGGGGTTCGATCCCGAATTTTTGCACCGAGGCGCTCCCGGCCGTCTTTACGGGCAACTACTCGATTATTTCGACGCTCAAGTGGCAACTCTACTGGGACCAGTACCCCAACACGACGTGTCCGACGGGCAGCTACTACATCTCGTACACCAACAATGTTGTCGTACCGCAAACCAAAGTCGGCAACGCGACGCAGTGCGTGACCAACCGCTGCATCTCGGCGATCGCGAGCCTCGATACGACGTGCAGCACGCTCCCGTGCTTTTTGCCCGCGCTCAAAGACGACAAGACGCGCCCGTGTACAACCTACAAGGCGTCGGATCTGCTGAAATGCTACTGCGAACCCGCCCTCGAGCGCGCGATTTCGCTCTACGGCTGGCTCGACGGCCCGAAAAAGATGTACAATTACCAGGTAATACCGAGTCTCGTCTGTCGTGGGTTGCATCAACGGTGGTGGTCTTAGCTGCCATGCCAAGAGTACTTGGCCAACTACATTCGGAAGAACGCGTCGCTCTTCCTCGCGGCCGCGACAGTCATTGTCGTCAACCTTGTGTTGCAGACAATCCTCCGCGCATTTGCCGATTTTGAGCGCCACGTGAGCGAGAGCGAGCGCGCGTCAGCCATGGTGCTCAAGCTCTTCTTCGCACAGCTGCTCAACACGGGTGCGGCCGAATCTCCATCTTAACAATGAGATTCACATGGTCGTAGGAATCATTGTGCTCTTGGTCAACGCCAACTTGAGCAACGTGCCTCTGCCGTCGACGCTGCGTGAAGTCTTGAACGGGAAGTTTGACGACTTTGTGCGGCAGTGGTACATTAGCGTCGGCGTCGGGATCTCGACAACCATGATCATCAACGCGGTTTCGCCGCAGATCGGACCGATTTTGCAAACCTTCGTCATTCGGCCGCTGACGCGGTCGCGTGCGCTCAAGGCCGCAGTGACGCAAAAGCAAATGAACGACTTGTTTGCGGGCCCGTCTTTTGACATTTCGCTGCGGTGGGCTATCTAATTTTTGTACATAATTGTCATTCGTCCGCGTAGGTACCCACTTGTGCTCAACACCGTGTTTGTGACGATGATGTACTGCGGCGGAATTCCAGTGCTGCTCCCCGTCGCCGCCCTCGCATGCCTCGTCATGCACCTCCTCGACAAGCTCACGATTATGAAGCTCTACTCGGTCCGCACCGCCTACGACGAGGTGCCAGGCTATATTTGAGTGGTTTCGTAACTAGTGCTGTGTAGGCGCTTGGCGAGCTCTCGCAAGCGATGCTGCCGTTTGCACTGTTGCTCCACCTCGGGTTTTCAACGTGGATGTACGGCAACAGCATGTTCCTCCAGTCGGGCCTGTTGAACGTGTCGTGGGTCTTGCGGGAATTTGGCGTCCAGTCGAATTCGACCAACGCCAACGACCTCTACGGTGAGCTCCAAGCCGCCGTGAGCGAGTACGATCCGCTCGGGTCCGCCGGTCTCTCGTCCAAGATCTGGCGCCTCAACGTCTTTCCCATCTTTCTCTTCTTTGTCATCGCGCTCGTCCTCTTCTTTTTATCGCAGTTTTTTGGCGCCATTTTGTGGCCGATTCTGGAAAAACCTCTCTATTGGCTCGCGAACGGCATCGCCAATTCGTGCTCGTCGACGCTCAAGAAGACGCTCATGCACAGCAAGCGCAAGTACTCGAGCGAAACGCCGCTCGTGTCCCAGTACCCCGACTTTACGGGCGAGTACCAAGTGCACGCGACCTCCAAGGCCGTCGACGTTGCCAAAGGCTATGAGCTCCAAGAGAACGGAATCCTCGTCCGCAAGTGGACGGTCGACACGGACGTGCGAAACAAAGGCGACCGCATGCTCACGTGGGAGGCCATGGCGGCGCCCGTCAAGACGTACTCGATCCACGCCAACCCCAAATATCAGGTACAGTCACGTGTGCTTTCTGGTGGCTGAGACGGCAGCAATAGAATGCGATGATTGAGCTCTCGCACGCCCGCGAGCGTGTCGGCAACGAGGATGCCGCCGAGAGCGAGCAAGAGAAACACGTCAGGAAGCCCAAGAAACCGTCCGGTTCCAGCACGGTCGTGCCTGTTGAGTAGTTTACTTTTCTTCCGCGTATGTGTAAAACCCTTGTGCGTACTTGATGCCAAAGTCCGTCGCGTCCACGGGCGGGTGCTTGAGCGCCTTGCGCGGGTTCTCGTCCAGCTCCTACGACTGCGCTAAGATCCAGGCAGCAGCTTGAAATTTGCACCTCAAAGATGTCCTTGATGTCGCCGCCGTGCTTCTTGTACATGGCCGCTAGTACCAGACGTCGGACGCGGGGGTTAATCAAGAGGGCGCGCACCGAGACGCTCAGCAACCGCGGGGTCGTACTCGAGCGAGTCATGGCGCGGATTGGCCTTGGTCGCCTTGAGGTTGTTGGACGACTTGAGCAGCTCGCCGTCGCTCACCAGCGCGTGCTTGCTCTCCATCGCTTCAAAGATCTTATCCGACCAAGGGTTGCGATCTTCCGCAACGATTGCGAAAATTACGCGTGCGAAACGTGTTTTATGTCGGAAATAGCAGAAAGGGCAATGTCACGTGGCAGCCCACGGGCGAAGGACAGAGATTTGCAGACATGTGGCCCGTGTCCGGCCGTCCCGCGGCAGCAGCTGCGCGAACATACCGGCAGCAAAGCGTTTTTCGTTCAGGCACCTCGACGGGCCTGGTAATGTCTACTAGTACCGGTTCAGGCTACGGTTCAGGCGCCGATATCTGGCGCCGATGCTGCGGCCGTCAGAGGAACCAAGACTCGACGTCGTCTGAGTCGCGCAGCTGCTGGACGCGGGTCAAAACGGACCAATCAGATGTCGCGTACTTCTGTGTAATCAGACCATTTTGAAAAAAACGATGCGTCTCTCTTCGCTTCCGCTCGGACTCGCGGCGCTGGCCGTCGTGAGCGCGATTGACGGCCGCCTTCCGTGCGACCGCGGTGTCCTCCTCGAGAAGGCCGGCGTCCAGACGCTAAAGACGTGCCTGGCGACGGCCAACTTGACGCTCGACACGCTCGACAAGGCACACGCCACAGCCCTCTGCGCCGTGCCAGCCTGCGTCAGCGTCGTCACGATGGCATCGACGACAACTACATGTCCGAATGGCCAAGACTACGCCGGTCTCTGCAACACGACGGCAGCGACGACACCAACATCGACCACAGGCGCTTCGACGACGACCACGAGTCCCGCGACAACGCTGCCCACATCATCGGCGCCAACGTCCGCGCCCACCACCGGCACCCCAAAGACACCAGCGGTTGCACCTTCTAGTGCATCGGCCATGTCGCTGGCAACTGTTGTGGCCATCACATCAGCCATTCTTCTCGTCTAAGGCGCGCGAATGGCTTCGTAAAGTACCTTCGAGCGAATCCGGTAAACGTGTGTAGTAAAATGCACTTTGCACAATTTCGGGTTGTCAAATGACCTTCGCACATGAGACTACATGCGTCAGCAGTCTAATCGGTGAGAGGAATCGCGTGCCGGAGGTGCAACGGCGTGTCGGCTTCGGGCAACAGCGAAATTGCAAACGTCCGCCACGTCTTGACGTCAAAAACGTACATGACACGCCCGCGACGGACGCTCAGAAGTCCGCTGTAGACCGCCGATGCGCGGTCGAGGTACACGAGATGGCGGTAGCGCCACGCGTCGTGCGCAAAGAGGTACGTCGCACCTGACGAAAGCCAGTAGGAGAGTACGCGCGAATGGCGCGCTGCACCCTTGAGCTGCCGCGCGCAGAGGTAGCAGAGACCGTGGGCGCCAAGCACGAGGAGACCGAGAAGCAGCGTGCGACTTGCGTGTCCGATCGTGACCGAGGCAGCAAGGCACGTAAACTGAAAGTCGACTTGGATCAGGCGACAGTCGGATGGCGGCGTCACCGTCACGGCGTGGGCTGGTGGCCACACGACACTCAAGAGCGATGCGACGACCCACACTAAGGTCGTGTTGAGGAGCGTGAACGACGGCGTGAGTTCGCGCGTGGCGATGATCCAAATGTCGATCGAGACGGCGCTGAGCCACGTGACTTCGCTGGCGGCGAGTAGCGTCGTGTACCACGGATTCGTCTGCGTCCGCAGCATTAAAAAGTTGTCATTTTGGCCGCGCTCGAGCCGCAGCATAGCTGTCGAGAGAATCGAGATTGCCGTGAGACTTCGAAGCAGCAGAAGCGGTCGTCCGACCCACGTGACGCTGCCGACACTGTGCAAGGACCAGAGATTCCGTCCCTCGATGCAACCGCAGCCGAGAAGCACGTAGACGCCCGTGACGGTTGCCAGCGCCAAGGTGACCGTCGTGACGTACTGAACACCGGCGGTCGCATACGCCGCAAACGTTGTCGGGAGTTCGCTTCTGTCGACGGTGTTCTCGAGGTATTGGATGAGGTCCGAGAGCAGCGTCATGATCCCGTTGTCACCTTCAAAGAGCACGACCTCCCGCCGGCCGAGCACCCAATCAAAGAGGAACCACCACGCAAAAAACGTAAATGGGTCGTCGTCGTCGAATCGCAGCGGGTACTCGAAGACACGGACATCGACGACCGAGACGTTGAGCGTTCCGAGTTGAAACAAGCTGATATTCATGTGGCGGAGATCAACCACGAGCGATGTCAGTACCGGTGTTGGGGGTAGCGGCGCCGCTTCCAAGAACGCAGTTGCCGCCACGAGCCCCGCATGACAGGCCGATGCGCCGCTCACCTCTTGCGCACACAGCCGCGTCCAGTTGGCACTTGTCAGCATCGTCGCAAAGATAAACGCTTCGGGCGTCGGGTACAGTGTACTCTGCAGCGGCGACGGTGCGCAAATGCCGTCGCTCAAGAAGAGTGTCAGCAGACCCGTCGAGATCTTGGCTCCTGCCGAGACAAGGCTGATGTCGCAGAGCGGCGAGCCGCCCAGAGCGATAAAGTCGAGCTGCAGCCACGCCTCGGGCACAACCAGGTAGTTGAAGTTGACGCTGGTGCCAAGAGTGACGTACGCCGTACCGGCTTCTAACGAAGCGACACGGCCGACCGTCACAGCGCTCGAGAACGCCCGCACGACATCTACCAATGCTTCCGGCGCGGGTACGTACGTCATGTCGATGGTGCCAAACGGCCCGAGACGCTGGCGCGTGGCGGCCAAACCCACGCCGAGCGGACTCGGCAGTGTCCCGTTCCGCATCAGGAGGGACTCGGCATTGATTGCCTCCAAGAGGTAATGGGGCAACCCTCGTAGGAGCGACGTGCCATTGACGTAGCGTTCGCTGGTATTTCCGCTGCCGTAGAGCGCTGCGAGCGGCCAGTACATTTTGTACGAGGTCTGCGCCGCCAAGCGGAACCGCCCGCTCGTGCTGGAAATGGTGAAATGGAACAAGGCGCCGTACGCATTCGAGATATCGTAGTGCAGTTGCAGGCCCAGTATCTTGTAGTTTTGCCACATGGAAACATAGCGAAACACATTGTGCGTGGTCCAAAAGCCAACTTCGTCCGGCAATTGCAACAGCGGCGCGTACAGCGAACGTGCCAAGAACGCGCGGCCGTCGAGCGAGGCGTCGAGGGCTTTGTGCGTTGAATCAAAGGCGCCGTTGCCACAGGCCAGCCACGCGCTTGCCTCCAAGTTGCGCAGGTGCAGCTCCAAGAAGACCGCGCCGTTCGACAACGTTGCGCGTCGGTGGCAGCGGGCTTGGCGCGCCGACGAAAAGGCGAGCTCCCAGCGTCGCTCGACATCCAAGAAACAGTACGCCGTCGCGATCCACGGCACGCTGCACGCATCGGCCGACCGCAGACTCGAGACAACCGATGCAATGTCGCTCGCCATGGCCAGTTGCTGGGTCGCCGCAAGGTTGGCTGGTGTCTTGATGCTAGTGGTCGTTGTGCTCGCGAGCACGTTGGTGTTGCTCGTGGTGAGTGAATTCACGTCGGCTGCACCCAGAAGCCGCAGGTGCACAAATGTTGATGCCAAGAAGACGTGCATGGTGCTCATGTTGAAGTCGGGCCAAAACACATCGTTCGTCAAGTGACCGGCCGAGACTTGGAGGTACGAGACGCTGCCGCCGATCGACACCAGCATGTAGAGGACCCCGACGTGTGCGAGCACCTGTTTCAAGAAAGGCCGGTGCACCACGACAGGCAACTCGCTGGCGGTCTCGGCTGGGACAGCGTGTAGGGTCGGCAGTGGCAGATGGAGGCAGTGCGCCGTCGCCTCAAACGGCCGGGTACTCCACAGCGGTATATGAAAGACAACACCAAGAGACCGAATCGGAATTGAACCGGCGAGAACGCACGCGACGCGGTCAAAGCCGGTGGGGGGTTGTACAGGCTGCAAGAGAGCATTCGCGGCCGCAGAGAGTGCCACGTATTTTTCATTCGGGGTGTGATGTTGTTTCCGTCGATACCACGCGACAAGAGGCAGCAGTACGAGCCCTATGCCGAGCTGAACGCTGACGAGAAGCCAAAGACGCGAGGTGGACCCGACGGCCACGACCGCGCTGCGGCAGTGCAAGAGGTGGTCCATTTGTGTCGCAGAGCAATTTCGATCCAGAATGCCAGTCAAGTCGACGGGCCAGACCAGTGTGATAGCGAAGTGACACAGCCACACGACGAGACTTGCTGTCGGTCCCACGACAATCGGGTCGCGCGTCAGCACGAGCGTTAGGTCGCCGAGCGCGACGGTGAGCCACGTTGCTTCGGTCGTGAGCACAATGGTCGATAGAACTGGCCGTCGGCGCCACGTTAGCATCGACGTCATCTGTCCTCGCCCCAAGACGATTTCAGCCGAGCTCAGTAGGATCAGCGCAGTGCTGCCCCGCAGCGCCATGATGGGCCGACCGAGCCAGACGGCGCCGACGAGACGGTGAAACGCGAGAAGGTTGGCGCTCACAACCGACTTGGAAATGTGCAACAGCACAAGGAGTGCGACGACGACAATGACAGCACTCGCATAGTAGACAATATAGAGCACAAAGCGAGACGCCCTCGTGAGCACGCGGGCGCTGTCGGCCATCGTGTACGGCGTGTAGCGAGCCGAAACGAGCGCCAGCGCGCCTTCGTCACCATCAAAGACGACGGCCTCGCGGTCCCCAAGTGCCCACTCGTACAGGTAGATCCACCCAAAGAACGTATGCAGCGACGCAGGATCGACAAGCGGCGCGTCGAGAAGTCGCCACTCGGACCCGTTCGAGGCAAATTGCATGATGCTAAGCCCCGTCGCGCGCACGTCAGTGGCTGCCTGCGCCAGCGCTGCAACAAGCGAGTCATGGCGCCAATGGGCGAGCTCGATGGCCGCGGCGTCGAGCTGCGCGCTGCACGCTGGTGCGCGCGTCTGAAGTGCGCAAATGGCGTGCGTGCGCTGTATAGCGTCCGGCGTGGCGAGCAGAGAGAGCAAGGTGGCGTCCCACGACAGCTCGAGCTGGAGCGGCGGCTGCGCGTCGCACACGTCATAGTAGCTAAACATGGCCTGCACAATTTGTCTCGGAGCGCCATGGAGACAAAAGGGGTTGCCGCCGTAATATACCAATCGCGGGTCCAGCGTCCACGCAGGCGGCACCGGGTCGACGACCAAGCTTGGAGGCCACGGCGAGTCGAGAACCGTGCGCGCCAAGTTGAGTTGAAAGAGCTCCACCGCACGCCAGAGCGACGGCGGCACCGCGAGAAAGTACAAGTCGATCGACAAGAACGGGCCAATGCGACGTCGGACAAGATCCGTCTGGTTGACAAACACATTGTCGTCGTTGGTGAGGCCTAAAAACCCCTCCAAGTCACCCGTCGACGTCGGCTGCCCGAGACGAAAGTCGTTGGGTGATGTGGCAATCAGGCTTTGGTTGCAAAGCTGCATAAAGTACAAGTCGTTGTAGAAGAACCAGTACGCGTATAGAGACGTCCAGCCCGTGCGCTGGAACGGCGAGTCCTTGACGACCACGTCGAAGGTTAACCCGAGTGCATTTTGCAGCGCGACAACTTCTTGGAGGCCGGTCTCGGCAGCGTTTTGCCACATCATGGTAAACGTCGTCAAGTTATTGGCCGCCCAGAGCGCAACTTCATCGGCGACACTCGTGCGGTGCCATGCATTGGCCGTGTTGCGCAACCAGGCTTGGCCAAAAGCAGTTGCTTCGAGGCCATTTTGAAGGCCCACGGTGAACATACCGCCGACGCCACCGTACACGGCGAGGAAGGCGTCCCAAGGAATGTTGCGGAGCACCGACTCCAAGTACACGGCACTGTTGTGTCGGTACCGAAGCGCGCACCGCGCTTGTCGTTTGGCCGTGTGTGCAATCTCAAAGACACGTTCAAAGTCCACGTAGCAGTACTGCGCACCCACCCAAAGCGCGTCGCTTGCTGGTAGCGTCCGAAGGTTTGTCACTGCATAGGTGAGCGACGTGAGGTTCGTGAGCAGCAAATAGCGCGTGTATGTCGCGTGCATGCTGACGCGCGTTGGTGACGCGCTATAGTCGCGGCGCTGCATGGCTCTCGGCGAGAGCAAGTCAAAGATAGTCGACTCAACGGACGTTGGCGCCAGCAAGGTGTTGGCGGCGTCGATCAAGAAGGCTTCGTATCCGGTCGTGTTGTACTCGGGCCACCATAAATCGTTGGCAAAGGCGGGCGCGAGCAGTCCGAGGTAATAGATCCCTGCGGCGATCGAGACGCACATGGAGAGGGCGCTGCATAGTACACGCCCCAGTTGGTGGCGTGGAAGCGACCGAATGTGGTCGGCCACCGGGCCCGGCACGACGCGGTGCATCGCGTCAACGGCCGCCTGTTTAGTGGCCGTTACAAGCTCATGACGTGGCACGCTGCGATACCAGTACCCGTTTCATTTTGGGTTCCGAGATTGCATTTTTGCGCCGAAAGCATAATTACGCTTTGGTTGCACCAAGAGGGTGGACATCCGCGTAGGACAACTCGTGCATGTATTGTCAACCAACGCGCTGCAATCTGGGCCGGCCCTCGGTGGACGTTGGCCACCCATCGCTGCCTGCGGACGATCTGCAAGATACAATCACAGCGCCCCGTGCGATAATCCCTTCGTAGTGCCTCCCACTGTGCCCTTTCGAATATGCTTCCGAGTCGTCTTCACGTGCGGTCCGACTCGTGTAGCGCGTGATAAGGAGCGACCTTGCACACCGCGGGGTGCCTGTCTATCGCATTTGGAACTTGGATTCTGACAAGTTGTCTTGGGAAAGCAGTGAGATGCTGTACTACACCGGGACAAGAGGACACTTGACCGCAACTCGTCCCATTCCAGTCAACCGCTGGATTCCGGCTTGGATCGCTTTCGCTGGTCACGCCACGCCGGCGTTACGGCATTTGATTGGTGGATATTCTCTATTGTATATCTTATCTGAATAAAAATCACTTGGCTTTCGTATGCCTCAAAATATTTTTATGCACGGCGGAAGTGATTGGACCAGCCGTGGTGCAATTTCCTACGATGGCACCGCCGACCAAGCCCACCAAGCCGGCCAAGAAGGCCAAGCAGGTCAAGCCGCTCGCGGTCGCGCCGGGCAGCAACTGGCAAAAGCTCAAGGCCGCCGTCGCCAAGCCGGCCTCCAACAAGCCCAAGAAGCACGACCTCGCGCCCGCGCCCAAGGCCAGAAAGGTCAAGGCGGCGCCCAGCGTCGACTGGATCGACACGAGCCTCATCGTGGCGATGGATTGCGAAATGGTCGGCGTCGGCTCGGACGGCAAGCGCAGTGTGCTCGCTCGCTGCAGTATCGTCGACTTTGAGGGCAACGTCGTCTACGACGAGCACGTCAAGCCGCTCGAGCGCGTCACCGACTTTCGCACGCACGTCAGTGGCATCCGCGCCAAGTCGCTGCGTGACGCGCTTCCGTTCGAGCAGGTCCGGTTGGCGATATAGTGCTGCTAACCACGTCAATGTCTCTAGTGCCAGAAGGACGTGGCCGCCATCTTTGACGGCAAGATCGTCGTCGGTCATGCCATCCGCAACGATATGCAGGTCGACACATCGCGCTCAGAGACAATGGACTTACAAATTACGTTTTGTAGGCGCTCATGCTCACCCACCCCAAGGGTCAGATCCGGGACACGACCAAGTACCGGCCGTACATGCGCCGCAAGGTCAACGGCACGGTACTGCATCTCGCTTTGTGTATACGCATCGTCTCACATGTGCTCCTATCAGAAACTGTACCCCAAGGCGCTCAAGCACCTCGCCGAAGAAGTGCTGCACAAGACGATCCAGACGGGCGAGCACGACTCGGTCGAAGATGCGCGCATCACGCTCGAGCTCTACAAGCGCGCGATGGGTCCGTGGGAGAAAGCCATCAAAGCCAGCAAGGCGCCGGGCCTCCTCGTGGGTCAGCAGCCGCCCAAGCTCCACCCCAAGACAAAGGCGGTCATCTCCGACACGCCCGCGACCGTCGACTCGGACGAAGACGAGTTTGACGCTGCGATCCGCAACATGGAGCAAGGTCGTGTCAAGGCCACGAAAGGCTTTGCGATTCCTGACGCCAAGCAGCTGTCGCTGGCCGAGTACGACGAATAACTCGACGTCAATCGATAGATATACATCACCACGTATCCTAATCTTGTCGGCCGGGGGTTGTCCACCGCCGACTGTCTTTCCGTCGACTTGAATTTTTTGAGATGCGGCCGTTGGACGATGCCTCGTCGCTCGCTGTCGTCGTCACAACGCATTTCACGAGATGGTGCCCACCCACATTGAGCTCGACGCGCCCGACGGCTACAACCACACGGTGACGCCCAAGGTCCTTCCCGACGTGACGTCGCCCCGCACGACGCCACCGCTGCCGGGCTGCAGCGTGGCCTTTCTGTTTCTCCTCGCAGCCCCCAAGATGGCCATGAACATGGCGTGGGCCGCGCAGTGGGCTGCGTTTGGTCCGCTTCTCGAGACGATGGTGCCCAGCTGGGCCGTGCAGCTCATCCAGATTGTCGGGCCCATGACCGGGCTCCTCGTCGCGCCGACCGTCGGCGTGCTCAGCGACGCGTGCACGAGGTACACAACTGCGATTCTCGGTCTTTTCTCAATACCATGTAGCGGCTACGGGCGTCGGCGGCCGTTCCTTTTGTTTGGCGCGATCACCAGCGCGCTCTGCTGGCTGCTCATGATGTTTGCCCGCGAGATTGGTGTCGCCCTCGGTGACGCCGGCACGCACCAGCCGATGACGGCGCTTGTCACGATCGTCTGCTACGTGTGGATGGACATGTCGGTCAACATCACCCAGACCCCGGTCAACCTCATCGTCGCCGACTTTGCGGGGCCGCGCCAAGTGCTCGCGGCGTCGATCGGCCAAGGCTACGCGATCGCCGGCTCGTTTTGCGTCTCGGGCTACATCTTGGCGTTTGGCCCGGCCCACGAGTCGATCCACGCTTTTCTCGGTATGCTCATCGGCGTCATGCTGCTCACGGTGCTGCCCGTGTGCCTCTTTGCCAAGGAGACGCCGCTGTCGCTGCCCGACGCCCCCATTGCACGCTGCACCCGCGTCCTCCATGCGTTTGGCGCGGTCTACACGGGCCTCAAGACGCTGCCGCGGGACTTGGTCGCATTTTGCGTCTGCTTCTTGCTCGTGCAGTACGGCTACACGGCTTACAACGGGGCCAAAGGCCAGTTTTTCGGGCTTGTGGTCTTGGACGGCGACGCCAGCGGTGCCAACGCCTGCGGCAGCGTACGCATGACCTTGAATCTCTCGCTTGTCTGATGCAGGATTGCGTAGAGCTGTTCGCTGAAGCAAGATGCGTACAACCGAGGCGTCGCGCTCGCGGGCGGCGTCACCGACACGCTCTTCAACGTTGTCGGCCTGCTCTACATGGTGCTGCTGCCGTATCTGGTCGCTGCCGCCGGCGCCAAGTGGGTGCTGACGCTCTCGATGCTGCCCCAGGCGCTCCTCATCGTCATGGCGTTCTCCAAAATGGTGACGCTCAACGTGGTCCTCGTCGTCCTCTGCGCGATCACGCAGAACGCGCTCTTTGCGATGCAAATCCCAGTCATTCTCCACGTCGTTGGCCACGGCGAAGACAACAAGCTCGGTTTGTACGCCGGCGCCTTCAACTCGGCCAACTGCGCCGGGCAGCTGCTCAACTTTGCCGCCGCGTCGGCGCTCGTGCAGACATCGATGGGCCACGCCCTCCCGGTGCTCGTTGGCGGCGTCGTCAGCCTCGCGGCCGTCGTCGTCGCGGCTGTCGCCCTCGAAATGCCAGGCATGTAGTCGCTGTCTGCTCTAAATCTTGTGGAATTGCATTTGGCGCTTGCAATGAAGTCGAGAGGTATAGACACACGAGTACTTGGGGTAGTTAGTCGTCGTCTTCGCTCAGTTGTCGGGGGCGAGGGACGCCGAGGTCGTCGTCGCCGTTGTAAAATGTTGTCAGGTCGACGTCCGGCTCGACCACGAGCTCAATCGACTCGAGGCGCGCCCGCTGCGTCGCTTCGGCGTCGTCCGACACTAGATTCGCATGAGAATGAATGGTCTCAGAGGGCTGGCAGCGTCGTACGGTGTGTGGGCGCGTGGCCCTGGTATGTCATGAGCGCTTGGTACGTCTTGAGATCCTTCTCAAACGCATCTCCGAGAGCCCTTCGCCTGCGAGAACGTATGAGTCGTCGTCTCGGGGACCATGAGGAGGACGCAACGCACCGCTCTTCCTGGCGCTGGCGCATGCGAGCTTCCTTTTGCACCAAAAGCGTGTGCTCGTGCTGTTCTAGCTCGGTTTGCTACACGTCTACTGGTGGTGCGACGTTCCGCAAGCGCCTCCTACCTGCTGCGACGCAAAGTGGGCATTCGCAAGCGTCAAGTGGTCTTCGGTGCACGTCCTACGCGTCGCGTGGGTGAGTGCCAGCGGCATACAGCGGATGCGAGGATGCTACATGAGGTGCTGCTCGGCGTCCTCGAACGCGAGGACGAGCGCTTGAATCGTGTTGCTACACACGTCAGCATGAGCTGTGGATGGTCAACGATCGAGCCTACCGAATCGAGCGCACGTCGTCAGCGATCTGCGTGAGGCTGCCAAAGTTGTGCTGAATGTACAATGCGCTGTGCGCTTCTTCGGCAACCCGACGGCGGGTTGCAGCGAGCTTGGTGGATAAGTGCTCGCCGCTAGATGCGCCGGCTAGATGAGCGTCATGGATGGTCGAGACGGCGCCTGTACCTTTCCAAGAGCGCTTTGTGGCCCGTGTGGACTTGTTCTTGGCGGTACGCGAGCGCGGCAAAGAACGGGCCGCCCACGACGTCGTCGGCGTCCTTGGCCCCGAGCGGCGGCGGCGCGCTCTGCACGACGGGGGCGACGACGACCTGCGCCGTCGCGGACGCCACGGCAGTTATCTTCTCCGATGCCGAGTTGACGCTCGAGTGCATGCGGTTGTTGATGTCGATGGACGCGTTGTTGACGGTCGTGATCGTAGCCGTGGCCACGGCGCCGAGGCGCTCGGACGCGGTGCTGAGGTTCACAGCCATGCGCTGGTTCATGTCCACAGCGTGGCCCTCGACCTGCGACTTGAGCTGCTTGGAGCTTTCGAGCACGCGGAGCTTGAGGTTGTCCAGCATGCTACGTCGGTCGCCGTCCCAACTGCCACCCTTCGAAATGAAAAATGCTAGAAAAACACTTTTTTAATTCTTTTTAAATATTATCTCATCGCATTTTCTGCCGGTATCTTGCGCGCCGCTCGCCATTCTCGCAGCATTGGTCAGTGCTGTGACCGCGTTGTACGCAGGTGCATTAGCCTTGGCCGTGTGTACTAGCGAGCAACATACACTGGGGGCACGCTGGCCACCGACGCACTGGAATGTCTCTGCGTGGTACCGCTGGGCGGGAACTCAGTCCCGTGCGCCACCTGAAACGCCAGCTTTGTCGAGATCCGGAGTCACAATTGCAGACAATAAATATTGGAAAAATTGAATTGTGCACTTTGGACAGATTGGGGTGTCGTTGACACACCACGTTATCAACTGGCTTGGGTGATGGATCGCTCGGAGCTCTGGGTTCCCGTTTCCAACCATCGCATTTGATGACCGAAAAAAGTACCGAGTCACACACTACCCGTCACAACTCCGAGTCACGCAATTCATCACACCTGGGGCCATCGAGTCAGCACCAAATGTATCACCTACAGTCTGGCCGTCCACGTGGTGCCAACTAGATGACGCATTCTGCATGAGACTTCACCCACAGTTGCGCAAGGTGATTCTTTGGACAATTGTCATGGTCGCTTTCATAAGGTCTGTCAGTGCGAGGATCGATCCGCGGACCGAATGCATTGCCCAACCACCAGGTGCCGACGACCGAAAATCAAGTTATCCTGTGTACTAGTAGTACTGGAACTACTTTGGCGAGAAGTCGTACAAGCTGAGCGTCGAGATCGCGCCAGCGGCGCTCAGCGCAGAAATGTCAGTGCGCAGTGGCGACGACGTGCCGAGACTGAGGTCGATCCACGTGCCGGACAGCACCTCCCACGTCGGACAAGTCGAGACGCCTTCCGTGCTGCACACAATCGTCGACGCTGGGGTGAGCCCGCAGAGGCGGTTGTCGAAAAAGCCAATCGCGACCTTGGTGAACTGCGGACCACCAATGGCCGACCACTCACCGACGACAACACTCGTGTCGTTCCTGGCGTAGCTCGCGTAAAAGAGGCTGCCGCTCGCAGTGACGCCAACGATACTGTCGTCCGAAAGCGCGAGCTGCGTCAGCGTCAGACCGCCATCGCTCACAGCCTGCAACGCCAGCGCGCCTGATGTCACGAGACCGCACTGGAGCCCACCAGTCGTCGGGACGATGCAGACGCTGGCCTCTTGCGTTGCGAGAGCCGTCAGCGGTGGCACAGTCGTGCACGGATACGCTGGATCGACGTTGAACTCGTGGACGCAGAGGCGGTCTGGACTCGCAATGTGCGACACGAGCGACGAGAGCGCGCCGGCAAAGTGGAGGATCGGGCCGTCGAGGTGCATTGGCATGTTGTAAATGCTCTGGGAGTCGGCGCCGGTGGCACCGCCGGCGCATGACTGGTACTTGTCCGTGGCGAGTAGCGTGTGCGGGGGCTGCACCGACGTCGTGAGCACGTCTCGCAAGACCCGGGGGCTCGGAGGCGCCCAGTTTGTCGCACACGTTGGCGCTGGGGTCGGGCTCGCAGTCGGCGCTGGAGTTGGGGCGACTGTCGGCATGTCGCCGCAGGCTGAGTGACTGGTGACGACGCCAAAAGCCGCCGTGAGAAAGCTAGCAACGCGGTACATGGAAGCAAATTGGCGACTGAGCATTGATGGTTGAGAACAGTAGATATTGAAGTAGCGCAGCAACGACTGAACAGTGAGCGCGTCGAAGTGTGCAGTGGCTGAAATCTCGTCTCCTTCTCCTGCCTCCTGTCGTGCTCGCTTGACTGCGCCAACGATACCGTTTAATCCCAAAGGACATAGCACGCAACCAATCAGAAGCTCGCAGAACAACCAACGAGGCATCAAGTGCAGCAACGAGCACCAGCCCTGTTCAATGAGACGCAGGCGATTTCTGGACAACCGCGTGCAATTTGTTAACGTGGAGAATGAGAAGCTTAGTATGGTGTGTCCAGCTTCTCTGGCGACTTGGTGCATCTCCCCTACCCCTGGGTTCAACTCGCAGCTCGCGGCCGAGATACCGGATTCGTGCTGCGAGCTCTGTGGTCACAGCTTGGAGCTGGAAACGCGGTACTAGTATTTTTTTGACGCGTGGAGAACTTTCTAGAGGCGACTCAGCGTACGACGAGTCATTTCGAACCCGACTCACGTCGCTGTACGTAGGATGGCAAATGCCAAATCGTCTCTTGCCTAGTGGTATCGAGGCAGGTATCCACTACTACGAAGGTACTTTCCAGGTAATACTTACCTTTGTGTGTCAAATGCGGTGAGAATCGTAGCTCGTCGAAGAAACGCACGTTATCTTTAGCCACGGGTGTGCACTTTCTTACACGGTTGGCCATGCGCATCGCGGCGATTCGCCCACAGCGCCCGTCGCTCGCGACGGCCCTCCACGCGCCTCTCAAGGTGAGCTACAGTACCTTCTGTGACTACGCTGATACAACACTCGTATTCCAGGCGGTCGGCAAGTTCAAGGCCATCATTGCCACCGAGCTATTGCACCTCGCCAAGCTCGAGAAGCTCCTGAATGCAACGTGCGCGTGGAAAGCCGAGCTGCTGCGGCCGCCCACCGCGCCGCGCATCCGGATTCAAGTCATGCCGAAAGGGCGCCTCTTTGGTGTCCTCGCGGTCTACTACGTCGTCACGGTTGCGCTCGTTTTTACGATCGTCCTTGACCGCACGGCCAGTACGTTTGCGACGCCGCCATTGACGGGCGTCTCGACCGCGCTCCTCGAAGTGTCGCCGACGACGGAGACGATTCGTCTCGACATCAGGTCGAGCTCGTTGGCTTACCTCGATATGATTCTCCTCAACGCAACGGGCCTTGGCACCATCTCCATCTATGCGTTCCCCGACACACCGTCGCAGACCCAAGTGGTTCCGTTCGAGAGTCTTTCGTGGTCGCCCAGCAGCAACCAGTCGATTGTGTCGGCGCCCTTCCCAATCGCGTACCGCGTTTTGTACAAGCTCAAGGTGGACCTCTACAGCAGCGTGTTGCTCAACGTCTCGCTCACCGACGGAGCTCCTTTCACCATATTTGCCTCGACGGGGTACACGACGCCGTACATGATGACGCTCGTCGGCTCGCTCTTGACAGTCATCAACATTTCGTGCGGCATCTACTTTCACATGCGCATTCGAACGTTTGCGATCCCGGGGCAGACGCTACCGCAATGGGACTGGGTCCAGCTCCATCTTTTGGCGCTTCTGCTGTGGATCTGTGTCCCGTACGAGATTGCCGTCTTCAAGGCCGTCACACAAGGCGTCACGGTCGCTTATGTGTTTCGTCAAATGGTGTTTTGGCTGCGGCTTTTCGGCAAGAACGGGTGTCGGCTCGCGGTGCTGCTCTTCTGCGACGGCATGGCAACGACAAAGCCGCGTCGCGCGCCGAGCTTCTACACCAAGAAGGTAATCGCCGTCGTGGCCCTCACCGCTGTCCAAGGTGCGAGCCAAAGCGTGTCGTCGCCGTCGCTTGTCTACCCGCTCTTGTATGTCTATACGTGGCTTGAGTTCGTGGTCCAATGCGTCATGGTGCTTTGGCTCGCGTACCGCCGAGGCCAGCGCGTGCGTCGCCAGCCGTACCGCAGCGCGACGTTCGAGTACACGACGTACGGCGTCATGTTCTTCTTGGTGTTTCAGTTTGCGATTGCATCGGCGTATAGTCTCATTCGCCTCTTGGTCGTCGCAGGCATGAGAAGTGCGACCGATACTAGCGACATTGTGCCGGATGCGCAGCAACAGATTCTGCTCGCCGGTCTGATTCGCGACCAAATGTTCGCATGGATCGTCCTCAAATGCTACATCCCACTGCCGCCTTCGTCCAGCGTCGTCGATGAAACCTCGACGGCGTTCTCGCTCACGGAAGCGTCGTCGCCGTCGCCATCGGTCTTTTGCCTCGAGACGGCGGTGACGATGCTCAACCTCTCCGTAGCGAGTTACTACACCTCCCACTTGCACCGCCACCACTCCCCCTCGTCGTGCGGGCACCTCGGCAAGGACATTCCGGACCTCGACGTCTTGGACTGTACGCTCCTCGCTGCCTTTCACGACCCCGCGACCGACACGAATGGCATGCTAGTCTACGAGGAGCGCAAGCAACGCTACGTGCTCGCGTTCCGGGGCACCGGTAGCATCAAGAACGCAGCGACGGACCTCAGATCGCGCCAGATGCGGCTTCCCGGTACGCTCTACACGTCCGAGCGGATCCGGAAGCACAACAAGGGCAAAGGCGTCCGGCACTTTGTGCACGTGCACTCGGGCTTTTACCACGCGTACGCAACGCTGGAGCGGCATCTGCATGCGGCGATCGGCAAGATTCCGGACGACAGCGTCGTCATCTGCACGGGCCACAGCCTCGGCGGCGCCCTCGCGACGATCGCCGCCATGGAGTTGGCGCTCAAGCGGCCGTCGCTGCGCGTCGCCATGTACAACTACGGCAGCCCCCGCGTCGGCAACCATGCGTTCCAGGAGCTCTTCAACGCGACGATGCCGGCCTTCCGCGTCATCAACGACGGCGACATTGTCACGCAGTATCCCAAGCGAGATTACACCAACGTCGACCTCGACGGCGTTTGCGTCTACAAGCACGTCGGTGTTGAAATCACGCTGCTCTGCGGCGGCAACGCCATTCGAGGGATTATCGTCCGACCTACGATCGTCGACCGGTTTGTCGTCTTGGCGCACCGCAACAGCCTCGCGAGCCACAGCCTCGAAAACTATCGCAATAGCTTCCGATCGCTCATGGTCGCCGGCACCGATCGCCTCGGCGCCTCGCTTGGCAGCTGCGACGCATCGCGCGAAGCAAGCTTTGAGACCGAAGACAAGATCAAGGACAAGGAGGACGAGGAGCAACAGCGCAAGGCGACGACGATGCACGACATCCACCTCGAGCTCTCGACAAATGCCACGGCAGAATCGACCGCTGCAGACGCAATTACCGCAGACACGACCGCCGCACACACGACCACTGCAGACACGACCACTACCCTTTGGACTATGTAGCTAGCATGTAGCGAATGGCCTTGGACTATCATTTCTTTGCGGGTATCGTGGCATTGCGGCGTGGCTGGATTTATAGAAGAGCGTCAGAGAAGCCAATCAAATGCCATGAAAAATCGAGCACACCAATCCGAGACCAGCCTACTAGCACCTTACTAATACCACGACGTGTCGCTTCCTGACCGACCGATGCTCCGCATATCGTCCGACAAGTGCGAGTGCACACCGTCGCTGCAAGCGGTAATGGCTCACTCCTCGCTGGATCACTTGCTTGCAGGTTGTCGGCAGCTCTATGGCGTGGACGCTTTTGACTGGTCAAAATGAAAAACAAATTCACCAATGGCCTTTGACCATAGCCGTTGCACGACCGGTTTCGATGCGCATTTGCACAACCGTAGAGTGGCATGAGCGACGACGAGCCGACGACGCCGACGACGCGCCGCCTCACGCGCAGCATGACCAAGGCTGGCGTCACGGACGACTCGGCGCCATCGCCCAAGAAGGCCAAGAAGGCTGCCAAGGCGCCGGCCAAGCCCATGCCCAAGCTGCTCTACGGCCAAATCGACCCGATTGCACAAGAGACGCTCGCCGCCAAAGGCAAGACGTCACTGTCGCTGATGCTGGGTGCTGACGGAGCCCGCGTTGACGCGTCGCTGGCGCTCGTGGACATTGCCAAGAACATGGACAAGTACTACCTCCTGCAGGCAATCCACGCCGAGCCCGACGTCGCGTTCTACGTATTTGCGCGCTGGGGCCGGACCGGGACCGCGGGCCAGAGCAAGCTTGAGGGTCCCTTTGCGACCAGCGAGGAAGCCCAAGCCGAGTTTGACAAGAAGTTTCTTGAAAAGACGGGCCAAGCGTGGGCCACACGGTCGGCGTTCGAGGTCCAAGCCGACAAGTACGACCTTCTGCATGTCGACTATGGCGCCAAGAACGGCGGTCTCTGGGAGTACTACATGAACGACCACGTCGACGGCAAGGCCACGGGCTGGTACGCCTACACGGACGAGGGCGTGAACCAGACCGAGATGCTCTGGTCGACGTTCCAGTCCAACCAAGCGTACAACCGGCGCATCGTGGCGTCGGGCTATTTCTCCTACATGGTCGACCTCCAAAACATGACGCAAATGAACATTTCGAGCAACAAGACGCGCCACATTCGTCGGACCTTCAACGGTATCATCACAGCATCCGCCGCTGCGCAGTCGCTCCCGACCGAGACCGTTGCGCCACCTGCTCAAGAAGACGACGACAACGATAGCGACAACGATAACGACAACGAGGACGACAACGAGGACGACGAAGCGTAGCCTCATATGAGTAGAAATGTAATGACGCATACTGCCATGTCTTTGTGTCGAAGAAAGCAGTTGCCAGCACACATGCAGTGAAGACAGCATCGAGGTGTTACCAGTGATGCGTACCCCAACACAAAGGCAACCTCCAGCTTGCACCAATGTTGTCGTCGTGTACATTTTTGTTCAGCGTGTACATTGGACAAGTCGTCTGCGAACGCCTCCCGCGTGATCGAAATCGAGTGCCTCGTTCGTCCGACCCACGCTAGAACTATAGAACTAGTACTAGTACGTGCTATCGATGGTCTCCGAGTTGTCGAGGAAGAGCATGAAGAGCCGGTTGAGCGGCCCGAGCTCGCCGTAGAAGATGTGTTGCAGCGCCGGCGTCAGCTCCTTGTGGGCGCGCACCTGCGACATCATTTTGGAGTCGATCACGTGACTCCGCTGCAAGTTGGCTGCGATGGCCTTGGCTGCTTGCACGCGCGTGGCCCACGCGTCAATAGCCGCTGTGCGCCGAAACTCAGCAAGCAGCGACGCAAACAGCGGTCCCTCGACGACCCGCTGCACGTGCACCTGCACACGAGCAACTATATGAGTGGCAACTCTAGTACACGACGGCACCTTGATCGAGAGGCGGAGGGTCGCGTAGCGGTCGACAAGGACGGCGCGCAGAGCGGTCTTGAGCGCCTCTTCTTCCAGCAGCTGCAAAGGCTTGACGCGCTGACGCGGCTTGCGCGGCTTGTTCCGTCCAGCAGGCGACGAACCTCGAGCGACGGGAGATGAGCCTCGAGCGACAGGTGAAGAGCCTCGAGCGGCGACCGGTGACACGCCTGTAGCAGCCGCAATCATGAAAAGCTGGTTTACAGAGCATGACATCCTCGTACCTCGGGACGATGGCCGTCGACCAAGCTGCGGCAAGCGACCACGTGCCTTTGAGAGCGCGTCGTTCGTCACGGGGGCGTCTACAAGACGTGAGCCGGCGTCAAGAGACACCGCATTCACACCCACCTAGATTCACCGCCACGTCCACGGATGGCGCCACCGGGGGCAACGGCGCGGGTAGCACCACTGGCGATGGAGCGAGGCTCGCCTACGATACGCATACCTCGTCCGCGACAAGAAAGGCATGAACACAGCCCACGTGCAGTGCGTCCATGTCGGTCAGGAGGAGCGACACGGCGTCTTCGAACGCGGCGACCGACGCAAATACCTCTGTTTTGCTGGATGTAGGTGTTCCCGCGAGCGTGCGCTGCACTTTCTCTCGAAGGCGCTCGCAGGCCGTCATCGTAGACACGTACAGCGTCCAGACCTTGCGGTACGCGTCGGTGGTGACATCGGGGCTTAACGTGGCGGCCACATATGCGTACTGCAACGTGGTCACAATGAGTTCTTCAAGCACCAGCGTGCCGCGCACGTAGATGCGTGGGTCCGACGTCCCCAGCGCCGCGCCTACATGTCTCGTAAGAAGCTACGGTTCTGGGCCAAAATGATGACCGAGCAAGAGCCCGTAGACCGCAGCGACGGCCGTATTCGGGTGCTGGAACGGCGCGAGATTTGTGGTGGCGTCGAGAATCGAGTCGGTCGTCGCCAGCAAATGCCACACGATCGCCATCGTCGTGATGCTGTGCGCTACGTCGCATGTGAACCCGTTGCGTGAGCAGGAACAAAGTACCATTCGGGGCAGGCATGTGGACTTCGATGGGCAGCGTCTGCGGCAGTTGCCGCACCACCTACCTTACGCACATCGCATCGCCGAGACAAGAAGGGTGTTGGCGACGCACTCGGTCCACGGCAGGGCAGAGCGGCGACGACACCCAGTACTCGGAGCCCACGCCGTCTGGTACGTACGGATGCGTCATGCACACGGTCCGCGGCGCGCCTTGAAGCAAGCCCAGATACAAGAGAACCTACGTGTCCATTCAGAATGCGACAGAGCAGAACGCGGATCGTACGAGGTAGCGCACAACGTCGAGCGTCTCGACTGATGCATCTGTCGCGCGGCAGACGTCGAGGGCCACACGCAGCGCGAGGCGTGGGTGCATGACGTGCATGGCCGCCTTTCCAACGAGATAAGATCGTATTCAATAGCCTTTCGAATCGTACCGCCGCCAAGCAGCGAGGGAGGCAGTCGTCGACGGGCACGGCCTCTGAGCTTGGCGGCCGTCCGCTCTGGAGGCATGCCATGGCCTTGGCGGCGTACACGCTGCGCTTGCGCGAGAGCACACCGCAGTCCCAAATCCCTACGCACTACGATATACGCCTTCGATAGAGACACGCGCCGTCTACCGTCGTGGTGCCACGTCAGCACGCTCGCTGCGACGCTGGCGGCGCTCAGCTGCGTCGAGAGGCCGCTCGAAACGGTGCACAGGAGCATGCTCTAGCATAGTACTATCGTAGAGGCAGCTCGTCAAATGGGCAAAGACGTACGCCGTGGTAGCCCCACCCCACGTAGGACGCGATCTCGTTGGCCTGCGCGGCGCCGTCATAGAGGACGCCGAGGAAGAGACTCGAGACAAAGCGATCCCGTGATGTCGGTCGCTCGACGCAGAGTTCTTTGGCAAAGCCAAGCGAGCTCTCGACCTCGGCGGTCAGCATGCGCCCGCGCTCTTCCTGCTGATTGTACGCTGCCAGCGCTGCCACGTAGTCGGCCTCATTACTGAGCGCGACGAGACTGGCGCGGCGCGACGCCATGGGTTCGGTTTCACACCGTTGGGCTTGGATACGACCATCATCGTTCAGGCATGGGAGTTATTGTCTTTTGGATCCTGAGATCAGACTTTTTGCGAATCGACATCACCATCTATCTATCTTCTATTTATCTATCTTCTATCTATCTATATCTATCTATATATCTATCCATCGATGAGGTCGTTCTTGAGCGACAGCCCGTGTGGTCACGTTGTTCACGCTGCGAGACCTCCGACTCGAATTGCTCCATGTCCCATCATCTTTATATATATGAACGTGTTTCGCGTTATCTTCATTATGACACAAAGACTTCGCATACGTAGCGCTACGCCTGAATGCGTGGGAGTTGGCACCAGCACTTGGTCGTTGGGAGTGAGCTGCGCACGGAGAGATCCATCCCGTGGTGGACCCCACTCGCCGAGTCATATCCCATCATCTTTGTCGAGCAAATTTCCCTCTGGCAATTCACAACTTTTGGCCAACCAAAAACAAAACCATACTAGTACGTGTTAAATAACGCCAAATGACGTGGCGGTCGCCCTCTCTCTATTTGTACTTGTCCGAGATCCGCTCGAGCGTCGTCAGAATCGACTCCATCTCGTCGGCGGGGTTGACAGCGTGGTGGAGCTCTTTGAGCTTGAGCGGCTCTTGGTTGCCAGCGGTGGTGACGACCACGGACGGCGCCTTCGTGCGCAGGAGCGGGCTCGGTGCCCTGCGCGCTTCCAGCGTCGCAATGTACGCGTTGCGGTCGCGCAGCTGCATTTCCATGTGCTCGCGGTCCCTCTTCATGCGCTTGTACTTGCTCAGCTGGCTCTGGTACTGCCGCTGGAGGGTCTCAATCTCAGCCACGAGCTCCTTTGTGTGCGTCTCGACGACCCGCTGCATGTGCTGGAGCTGGGCTTCGTGGCCCGCACTGCCCTGCGCCATCGCCGACTGCACTTTGACGCGGAGCGACTCGTTCTCCTTCTTGAGCACATGATGCATCGACCGCGCGTCCCGGTACTTTTGTTCAAGCGCCTTGTACCCTTCTCGGTCGGCTTCGTACTTTTGAATCTATAAGTAGAGGTGAGACATGAGTGGTGGCTAGGGTTAGAGTGATGTACCTTGAGCTTGGCCGCTTGCACCATGGCGCGCATCGCAACAAGGTCTGTTCGGTCCTTCTTACTCTCGGCGAGCACGTCCGCAAGCCGCTTGTCGAGCGTCGACGTCTGCTCCGCCGCGCGCTGCTGCCGCTCCACGAGAGCGCGCAGCTTGAGTTCACTCGACTTGCGCTTGGCGACTTCAGCCTCCAGGCGCTGGATGGTCGATGATTGCTCGTCCACTTGTGTCGTGAGCCGCGGCAGATCCGCGGCCGCCGCTTTCTGCAACATCAGCGCCGCGTTTTGCGCCTGCAACGCCTCGAACTTGGCGACCACCGCCGCATGGGTCGCCTGCAACGACGCCAGTTGCGACGCCGCATCGCTCGCTGCCGCCAATTGCTGCTCGTTCGTGCGCAGTTGCGTCTGAAGTTCGTGCACTTGTTGCTGCCACACCGCCTTGAGTTCGACTTGGCGCTCGAGGCGCGCGCACTCGGCACGAAGCGACTCTGTTTCGGCGCGTGCCGCCGCGAGCGCATCTTCGTCGCGGAAGAGCTCTTGGAACCCAACGTCCAAGTGGTGGTCGAGGAAGCCACGGCACTGCTGCAACTGCGCCAAGTCGTCTTGGGCAGTGGCGATCTCCTTTGTGAGCCGCGCGACCGTCGCTTCGAGCTGCTGGTTGGTGTGCACTAGCGCTGCATGCTTGCGGCTCTGGTCCTCGAGCTTGGCGTTGAGCGTAAAGATGCTGCGGTCCTTCTCCGCGATGGTCCGCGTGCTCTCGGCGAGCTGCGACTGCAGCGACGACGTGCGCTGCAAGAGGGTGTCCTTGTCGGCCTTGAACTGCGCTTCCAGGCGCGACTGGATCAGGCGCACTTCGTCGCGCAGCGTCTTGACAAGAATGGATTGCCCGGACGCGCTCGTGGCGGCGTGGGCCTGCTTGAGCCGCAGCGTCATCGACTCGAGCTGCTTGGTCGCGTCGTCGTACTTGGTCTTCCAGTTGGCTGCGTCGTTGGCCGAGGCAGCGCACGCGGTCGCGACAGCATCGTGCTCGGCACGGAGCGTCTCGAGCTGTGTGTGGAGGGACTCGAGAAGCGACTCTTTCGAGCGAATGGTGTCCTGCGCGGCTGCGAGGTCATTCGAGAGCTTCGACGTCGTCGTCGCGGTTGACACTTGTGCCGATGACGCCGTCGTGCGCAGCTCGCTGACGAGGTCATCTTTGGCCACGAGCTCCGTCTCGTACTCGCGCTTGAGCTCGCGGTTTGCGTGCACTTGGGCTTCGCACTCGGCCTGGAGCGTCGCGATCTGGCGCTTCCAGGTCTCTTCCTTCTGCTTGTAGCCTGTCTCGAGCGACTCGATCGCAGCGCTAAAGCCCTCGATGCTGTTGGCCGCGTCCTGAATCTGCACTTCGAGCTCACAGTTGTGCACTTGGAGCTCGCGCTTCTCGCGGCGGAGGCGCTCGACCTCGTCCATGAAGTCGTTGCGAGACGCCGACGCGCCGAGGGCCTTGGGCGGCGTCTGGAACGTCGAGCCGTTCGCAGCCTGCTGTTCACCGAGTAGCCTACAGACAAGGCCATGAGGCGAAGACTGGCGAGGACGCGAATACCTTCGGAGGCGGTCCATCTCGGCGGCCTGCTGCACCTCGCGCTGGCGCAGGACGTGGAGCTGCTTGGCGAGCATGTCGATCTGGGCCTTCTCAGGGGATGGAGAGACAGGAGACCGCGCCGGCGACGCCGACTCGGCCGTCGGCGGCGTCACGTACGACGGACTGCCAGGTCGCCGCGTCGTCCGCTGTGGCGTGGCGTACATCGTGTAAAACCAAAAATCGCTTGGGTTAAATTCATTCAAATCGTGAGCCCGTCATGGCGCTTTCAATAAAAAACAAAACATTTGACTTGACATTAGTATTAAACATAGAATCGTTGAATTGTACGACGCGTTTTGGAGGGAGATGGCGGGGTAAAAGAGGGCGCCAATATCGTCGTCGCTGATTGGCTGTAACGATGACACGGGCACGTTTGATTGGTCGCCGCTTTTCGTTTGGCGCGCGCACCAGTCAGCGCCTGGGAGACGCCGTCAACGGCCTTACGCCACCTTGCCCGTCAGCGCTGAAGGCAACACTAAAGACTTAACGACTATGAACTGCCACACAGTGCACTAGGGCTATGGTTCGATATGTGTACATATTGTCTGCGTGTGGACCGGTGGACGTAACTGTCGAAAGGCAGGTGGTCGCGTCCCGCGCTCTGGCTTGTGATCCAAGCAGAGGTGAGAACATGCAGCATTCACAGTCCTTGGTCTGGTTCTTGGTGCTTCAAATAGGGTATACTTAGTATCCGAATCGCAATAAGAGCCCCGGCGCCTTCGTGCGACCAGCGCGCGGGAAGATACTTAGTACGGACTAGGCTCAGACCTGTTGCATACCATAGTTGTATGATGGCATGGAGGTGGCGATACAAGGTCCGCCAGTACAAATGCATTCTTGTACCACCGAGCTCGCAGACAAGCGCTAACTTAGTAGACAAATGAGAATGGAAGATTTCGCAGTGGCATGGAAGATCTCAGCTCGCCCTGCCGCCCAAATCATCGATTCGCGCGCGACGAAAAATCCAACGTGATTGGCCAATATCCCGCACAGAGATCGTAAGAGATACCTATTTTCATCCAATCATATCGTCATCCGCGATGCCTTTCGCCAAATCACAACCCGTTCTCCTAAACGAGCTTTCGGCGATGTGGCGGATCGTCCAGCTGGTGCTGCCAGCGTACGACGCGACCATGGATCTGCTTCGCCAAGCGATGACGGTGACCGAGTGCTTGCGCGACGACTTGTCGTTTGATCGTCTGCAGCAAGTCGGTGCAGTCTCGGTCGACGCCTTAGAGCCACCGATCGATTCGACGTCGCGCTCGAGCTTCAACGTGGCCGACCCGCCTGTCTGCACCAGCCGCATGAGCGCGTACAAATTTGAGACCGGCGTGTCAAGGTACGACGACGGCGATTGCTATGCCAAGAGCATCTTGTCGGTCGCGTGGCACCCAGCGTGCGACGTGCCCATCGACGTCACGCCGCACCTCCAAGAACGCGAGGTCGACGACTTCCTTGCCACAATTCGCGGTCATCAATGCACGGCCATGACAGCTACATGAATGTCCCGTTCCCGTCGTGCGCGGTCGTATGTTGGCCCAAGCTATTCGGACTTGCAACTGCACTGCATGCCTAACGCAGGACGCCCATGACGACACGAAGGGCGCTCTGCGACTCGGACTCAGCGTCCATCGGCTGCTTTTCGGGACCGTTGCGACCTGTGTGCAACAAGCAAAATCTTAGCCCCAGTCACCTGCGCGCCTTGACCTGGTGCTGCCACGTTGCATTATCCGGATGTTTACGGATACGACAATCGGCCGCAGTTGGCACTTTCAAGATGGCCACCACCATTCCCATGGCCACCGCGGTCGGAGGCAGCCACGAACTCTTGGCAGCCATCGCCAACTACGTACCCAGTGCTACGGCCTTGCGTGCGCTCTTGGAAGCGCTGCCACCCGACTTCTTCAGCGACACGCGGGTCGGCAGCCTCCGCAACCCGTGGCCCGGCGTCCTCTGTCTCCTCCAGCATCCGCAACTAGACCCAAGCACGCTCTGGCCAACGCTGCAATTCAAGGCTGTCGCAGCTGTGTTGGACCCGCAGGGCAAACGCAATGTGTGGTTGTGCCCGGAGCTTCGGCCGCTCTGGGCCGCGGGCGTTGACGTGACCATGGAGTCCATGGACGCGCGCCAAGTCGACGGCCTTTGCAAAGCGCAGCCACGCCTGCTTGACGCTGATATCATGTGCTCGCTGACGCCCATGACGGTCAACATCGCTAGCGGCGTCTGGACCAGCTGTACGCTCTCTCTTTCGTTATCTAAAAGCCAAGATGACATCCTGCGCATGGCGTCCATCCTGGCGTCCACGCCGTCACTACGCCGCGTCACGCTCGACCTCTCGCAGATTGCGTATGCTCGCGTCATGGAGTGTGAGGAGCACGGGGAAGTGTACCGGTCCTACGGCGCTCCACTGCCTGCCGATCTCGAGCCACACGTGTGGGCTGCCCTCGCAGCATCACAAGCCGTCGATGTCACCTTCCTCGGCGGCAACCTCTTGGCGACACCCAACGGCATTGCATCGGCAATCCAATGGCTTGCGTCTTGTCGTATCCGGTGTCTCTGCCTTGCTGACGTTAACGTCGAGGTCAACGGCGTCGGTGCCCTCATGACGGCCATGCGCAACTGCACCACGCTCTCGCACCTCGAGCTCAGCTACGATCACACGCTTCTACCGGCGCTCTTATCCATGTCGCTGCCACGTCATGTGCGCCGTCTGCGCTTGTTTGTGAGCGAGCCGCATTCCCCCGACTCGATCTGCCACCGGATCACGACACTTTCAGTGCCCTGCGGCGTCGCTCAGTTTTTAGCCTCGGCCATTGCGGCCTCTGCCTTGACCTTCTTGTCCATCGACGTCGACGGCTGTGGCGACGAGAGTACCGCTGCAATTTTGTCAATGGTGCTGACGCAACTGCCGGACCTCGCACACTTGGAATTGGTCCGCTTTCGAAGAGGCCCGCAGGTCAAGCTCGTGCTGGAAGCGGGCGCGGCTCGGCTCGCAGCGCTCGCTTCCGTGCGGTTCCACGAGCTCGCAGAAGACATTTTCGACACGTATGGCGCGTCCGACTACTAGCGTAATGCCATCAGTCGTCTTTGTATATTGCATTTGGTATTTTTAATCATTATTGCCAAGGTGCCTTGGTCGAATTGCTACCAAAGACAGTGACAGACGAGCATCATCATCACCCTGGCGCATTTGAGCTTTGGTGCCCGGTCACCGGTGGGGCGCTCGCACATGCCTCCTTCGCACCGACGAAGATACGCCGTTGGATATCCAATCGGGCGTTCTTTCCGAAGGTCCAACGACTGCGAAGGTCGGCTCAAGGAGGGTCCAGCATATTGTTAATACACTGTTTACGGACATTCGATTTGGTGCAGTGCGTCATCCACGAGTCGCCACGTCAGATCTCTCACAGGGCGTCAAAAGCAGAATAGCATGGTCATGTGCATTTCAAGTGTCAACTTAAGCGTTTTCGACGCCAAATGCGTACTCGAGCGTGCCCTCGGAGGCTTCGAGGTGCACGGCGCACGCCAAAATGCTCTTGTCCGTCGACGGCATCAGCGGGAGGAACCGGACGGCTTGCTTGGCCTCGACCTGCGACGGGCCGGTCGCCACCACGTGCTCCTTGTCGCCGTTGAGGTCGTACTCGACCCAGAGGATGACGGCGTTCATGACAACGTCCTTGTTTGTAATGGGCTCGGTCCATCGGTTGGTATACGACTCGATGCGCTCCGAAAAGCGCAGTGGCAGCACTTCAAAGGGTGCTGTCGCCGGCGTGTACGGGTACATGTACGTCGGGAACGGGAAGTCCCGGCGGAGGTACCCACCCTGGAGCGCATCAAACGCGGTGTGGTCAAAGCCACTGACGCTCGCGACCTGCCCAAAGCACTCGTGGAGGTGCTCGAACGCAACGCCCATGGCCATGACACGGCCGACGCGCGGCACAATCGCCGCGTTTTGCGACAACAAGTCTAGTAAACATAGACAATATTGTCCACGAACGCACCCAATCAGACATACCGTGGACGGCCGACCGGCGGTACCAAAAGTTGAGGCCTTGCCAGATCGGGAGGTTTTGCATCGCATAGTAGAAGGGTTCGCCGACGAGCACATCGACGGGCGCCGCCGTGTGCAAGTGCTCGTGCAAAAGACCCTTGACGCCCGAGTGGAGGATCGTGATGGCGTCGCTCAGGTCGTTGCCGCCCACGAGCTGCTGGAAGATGCGCGATGACACTTCCTTGGACTCGATCGACGTGACCGACGACGATGTGCTCGCCGACACAAGGGCGCAGATCGACCCGTCGCTAATGTCGAGGACGTTGGAGGTCGGTGTCGTCACCGCAGCGATGGCCTCGCGGTACGCCGCCGTGCGCGCACGATTGTTGAGCATGCTCAGCCGCTCGGCGTTGCAGATGAGGTGCAGTCCGCACACGCACGGTGGCACGTCGTGGTCGACCTTGAGCTTCTTGGGCGGCGAGAGCGGGGCGTGGACTTGGAACCAGACGCGGAGAGAATCGTGGAGCGTCACGAGGCTGAGCACATCGCCTGGCGACACGCGGCGCTGCGCAGCCAACGGGAACGCCACGGGCACCCAGTGGTCTTGCCACTTTTGCACGCCCGGCACCGTCGAGTACGTCACACCGTCGCCCAAGTCGACCGTCCAGCACATGACGACGGCGTCCAGTGACCCTTCGCGCGTAATTGCGACGCTGGTGAGGGCGTCGGTTGTGATCGAAGCGGCGACCGGCGCGTGGCGCGTAAAGTCGAGCGTGAGCACATCCACCGAGTCGGACAAGTCGATCGGCGCGAGATGGTCGTTGGTCGTGTGCAGCGGCAGCGCGACGCGGCCGCCCGTGCACGTCCACGCTACGTCGTTGCGGGCGAGGCGGACGGTCTCCGACAGGCGTGTGCCCGCCACCGAGTTCATGCGGAAGAGTGCTTCGCTCTGCACAAGCTTGGCGTGGACCGTTGCGAGGCGCGGGATGATCACGGGATCGTCGCGCACGAGGAGGTGTTCGCGCGCGTGCTGGAGCGTCGGCAAGATGCCTTCGCCGAGGAGGAGCGAGTCAAAGAGCTCGGACACGAGCATGTCGGCGCGGACCGGCATGTCCTCGGGAATGCGCAGGTCCGTCGACCGCTTGGGCAGCACTGTGATGATCGACTCGAAGCCGTTGTCGGCCGTGACACTGGACGCGATCTCGGCCATCGTCTCAAACATCTCGCACGCGTACACGTGGGCGGCGCCGTGCTTGGCCGCCAGCATGGCCTAATGATACATGCGTCGTGAGGACGACGATGAGACGTAAGGATTCGGTCTCGTACGAGGAGGCCTGTGCCCGTGCCAATGTCGAGCACGATCGGCGCGCGCTGGTGCTTGGCCGTAAAGGCGGCGATGCCATGGCGAATGCCATGCTCGTAGGCTGCGTTGCGATCGGCATCGCGGAGCATCGAGGTCATCTGGCTCATGGACACGACGTTCTTGTACGTCTCGGCGGCGTCCTCTTCCTCGACCCACATGAGGCCGCCGGCCTCCGGGTTCAAGCGCGACGCGAGCACGACGCTGGACGACCCCTCGATGAGCTCGCCGCTGTCTTCGTCCACATACGAGTAGGGCATGCTCGTGACGATGGTCTCTTCCGCGCTCGCCGTGTCGAGGATGTCCTCGAGGTTGGGCGCCGCTGCGTCGTCCGCCTTGAAGTCCTCGCCGACGACCGCGCCGCTGTACTTGTCCGCGCCGTTGTACATCTCAAAAAATGAAAAATCATTGGCCGAGTCAGTTTGTCCCAGTTTGCACTTTGGGACAAATTATTGCAAACTGGGTTCATGCTAATGGAACAAACCCGCGCGCAGGAAATAAAATTATTTCCTGTGCGCGGTTTCCCACCCCGACATTTAATGTCGGGGTGGGAAAGGTTTGCCCCAGTTTGCACTTGGGACAAACGATGATTGCCCATCGCAGCTCATCGCACCCGATCTTGACTACTGGTTGCGATGTCGCAGCAATGGAAAACACTCGACTTCTGCACAGCTCGACTACTAGTGTTCATTAGAGGTACAGGCTCTGTCGTTCGCTCTACTTGGTGTACGTCCGGCGGCCACCAAACTTGGCCTGGATCGCAGTCGAGACCACGTCATGGAGGCGCGTCTCGAGGTCGTCCGACCACATTTCGTTGGCCGGGTGGTCTACAGGCGCATCACATAACTCAGTTGTCTGCGATTCAACAAGCGTTGGATGGTCGTACCGCGCAGCTGCTGCAAAAGCGCCGGCTCGTCGGCGTCGAGCGTCGCCATCACATGCCGGACAACGTCCCACACCGGCACGGGGTTCGGCAGACGCAAGATGAACTGGTTGGCAATGATGTACGCGCCAACAACGATCGCCGCGTCGTCTTCACGCTGGAACGGGCGCTATTCGTCCAAGCGCTAAGAAATGAGTTTTGCAATGGGATGCGTACTTGGTTGAAAAATTGCTGCACGAGCTCGCGCGAGTCGAGGACGTCTTGGTCTTCGGGCTCGGTTTCGAGGCCAAAGCCCTTCGCCAGCGTCACATTGCCGTGGACGACGTGGCCGTCAATGATCGTCGCGCGGATGTGCTGCATGCACTTCCACAGCGCCGCCTTCTGGAACGGCGGGCCTCGGACTGACGCGCCGGGCGCCAAGCAGTCGATCGGCGGGTACACCTACACGAGCCCTATCGTTAGCGCCTGGAGCGATTTGTCATGGGCTTACGCGACGGAGGTTGAGGCCCGAGTCGAGGGACACGTGGTCGTCGACCATCGACAAGAGCGACTCTTGAAAGGCTACGCCGTAGGTGTTGTAGTTTACAGCATCTCCATGTGACGGACGGTACCGCTCGCAACGTCTTCTTTGCCCGGCGTGTCAGCCAGCACAATCGAAGAGAGCGACGTGTCCCCGCGCTTGGCCGAGAACTGCGTCGAGCGCTCCATCAAATTGGCGTGGCCGCTAAAGCTCGTGCGCGCGGCTTTCGGCAGCTTGATGGCCTGGATGAGACTCTCGACCACCATCGTGTGGGCCGACAGGTCGTCGTAGACGACAATGGCCTTTTGGCCGTCGCGGAGCCAGCTCTCGGCGATCGTGCAGCCCGCAAAGGGCGCGAGGTACTGCATGATGAGCGGCTGGCGGTCGTCGGCGGCGACAAGCGTCGTGTACTGGAGCGCGTCGAGGTCGCGGAGGAGCTGCACGATCTGGTTGACGCGCGCCGGGCTCTTGCCGACGGCCACGTACACAAAGCGGGGCATCTCCGAGAGGTTTGTGGCGTGTTTCTTGATCTGCTGGGCAATCATATCGATGACAAGCCGCGTCTTGCCGCTGCCACTACACACACGCCACCACGATGGGCAACTCTACGCATATTGTCGAGTCTACCGCGGCCCGAGCACGGCAAAACGCTGGCCAAAGGCAAGCGGGTGGAGGCAGTCGATGACATGGATGCCCGTTTCCCACGGGTGCTTGAGCAGTCCGCGCTCCATCATGGTCGGAATCGCAGCGCGCATGCACGTGTGCGTGACAGCAGCGTCGACGGGTCCCTTGTTGTCCATGGACTTGCCGAGCGGGTCGATCACCTACGGCATGTGCATGTGATGCAAGGCGATTGAACAAAGCGCTGTCGTACGCGGCCGAGAAGCCCATCGCCCACGGGGATGCGGAGGTTGTTGTCGGCGAGCTCCACGTGCATGCCAAGCGAGAGCTGGCTCGCATCGCCAAAGACAGCAATACGCGCGCGCTTCTTGGCCAAGTCGAGAACGATCCCTTGCCCGACCTAGGACAAGCGCGATGGCATCCAGATAGACGTACTAGTGGAGGAAGACGACGTACCAACTGACCATCTTCGTCAAAGATGTGGACCGTGGAGTTGAGCGACGCGTGCTTGAGGCCTGAGACGACGCCGACGCCTTGGGTCAGCGCTAAGAGGAGGCCCGACTCGGCGAGTTCGTCGCCTTCGCGCATGATGGCCTCTTCGAGCTGGATCTCGACGGCCGACTTTGCTTCAAGCGAGCTGCGAGCGATCTTGAGGAGCGCATCCTCTTCTGCCTGGGTGTAGCCATAGGACGAAGACGTCGAGAAGCCGCGGAGCATGCGCGCCGGCGAGCGCGTCGCCCGGCGCGCCATGGCGCCGACGGACAGTGTCACAGCCTTGCGTAGCATCTCGTGTGTGGTGCTCGTGGTGATTGGCTCGTGGCTGCAAATCCGGATTCCACCGGATACGCGTCATGGTTGTCTGAATTCGCTTAGCCAAGTACAGGCACAAGAGCGCGCTTTTGTGGAGGCCCATCAGAGGCCATGCGTGTGCTGCATGCACAGGTAAGGAGGTCAAGAGCATATTCAAACCGGGACTGACATTGTATTTGTTGGCATAGTTCGTGCACCGGAATGCTAGAAGAAGCGCAATGCACACGCTGACGAGTCGAGACCTTGGGCGGTTTGCGTTTGCGCCGCCGTCATCCGGAAATCGGCACCAATAACCGGATATCGCACGTGTGCAAAGGCCTTTGGAGTGGGCACAAGAGCTTTCTGATGCTTGCACTGAGTCATTCCACAGCCATTATGTTCAAGTACTTAGGCAAGAGCTTCTCAGCGCCCTCCTCACAACCAACAACAACCCTGCCTTTGAGACCAATCGGAGATCGAATATGAGTGATGGTCTTTGGAAGGGCAAGAGTGGTGGTACCAACGGCCTGTCATCGCTCGTGTCGGATCGCATTTTCAAAGATTGACCATGGCCGCCAAACCCAAGCCACTACGCTTGTGAAGGCGCCGCCCGCCAAGCGCTCGACGCGCAGCAGCGCCACCAACGTCTCGCCTGCATCGGCTGCCCCGGCGCCCGAAACCAAGCCGACCCGCAAGGCCAAGACGACCAAGACAGCAACCAAGGCCAAGGCGGCGACAGCATCGACCAAGGCGACGCCCGAGACACCCGAAACCACGTTGACGCCTGCCGCCATCAAGGAAGAGGAAGACTTTCAGCGCAAGCTTGACGACCACTACAGCACGCGCTACGGCAGCGGAGCCATCGTCGTCGGTGCCCACGACGTCATGCTCAACCAGGTCGAAATCAAGGCGACGACGTCCAAGAACAAGTTTTACCGCCTCCAGCTACTTTCGTACCCTGGCACGGAGCGCTACGATGTCTGGACGCGCTGGGGTCGCGTCGGAGAGGACGGCGACTACATGCTCTTGGCCAAAGGCGCGTCGTGGGACCTCGGTACGGCGACTGCGGCCTTTGAGAAAAAGTTCAAAGACAAAACCAAGAACGTGTGGGCCAACCGCGCGAGCTTTGGGCCCAAGAAGGGCAGCTACGAGATCATCGAGCTGGACGCCAAGGCGACCGCGGCGACCACCACGGGCAGTGTGGGCAGTGACACGGCACCGTCATCACTGCCACTCCCCACGCAGCACCTTTTGCGCATGATCTTTGACACCAACATGTTCAAGGACGCCTTGTCGCAAATGAATCTGGACCCGGCGCGCATGCCGCTCGGCACATTGAGCGCGTCGCAAATCGCAAAGGGCGTCGCGATCCTCGAGAGTCTCCAAGCGCGCACGGATGGGTCGATCGCCGAGCTCTCGTCCAAGTTTTACCAGCTCATTCCACACGCCTTCAGTCGGTCGTCGATCCCACCGCTGCTCAAGTCGCCCGACCAGATCGCGGCCAAGTTTGAGATGCTCTCGACGCTGCACGACATTGTCGTGGCCCAAGACGTCCAGAAAGCAGCGTCCGCGTCTGCGCCAACAACGGCCGTGAACCAAATCGACCTCAACTACGCCGAGCTCCACGCCGACATTAGCCTCGTCGACGCAGCCAGCCCCGAGCACGCGACGCTGCTCGAGTACATTGCGCAGACGCGGGGCGGCAACGGCATGGACGTGGCGGGTATCTGGGCCGTCAAGCGGTCCACGGAGGACGCTCGGTTTGCGCCGTTCCAAGACGTCGACAACCACCGCCTCTTGTGGCACGGCACCAACGTCGCTGTCGTCGCAGCGATCCTCAAGTCGGGTCTGCGCATCATGCCGTCGTCGGGCGGGCGTGTCGGCAAGGGCATCTACCTCGCCAACATGCTCGCCAAGTCCCGCTCGTACGTCTCGCCGGCCAACTACAATGGCGAGCGTCTCGGCTGCGTCTTCCTCGTCGAAGCTGCGCTCGGCCGCATGCACGAGATCACGCAGGATGACTCGTCCTTGAAGCGCGCGCCGGACGGCTTCGACTCGGTCTTGGCCAAGGGCAATGTGCACCCGGACCCGGCATATGACCGGACGCTCGACTTTGACGGACGCGCTGTCACCGTCAACTGCGGTCCGCAAGTCCAGTCGGAAGTGTCGTCGTCGTCGTTTTATCACGACGAATACCTCGTGTACCGAGAGGAGCAGCAGCGCCTTCGGTATATTGTCACATTTAAAATGTAATTTATCGGCTTGTCAAGTCGAATTTTGTACTAGAACAACGCGCCTGAATCGTCGCGGACGCTGTTCAAGCGACTCGAATGTATATAGTGTTAAAACCGAAACTGCCTCGTATTACTCGACTCGGATAAAGCGTGTGTCTGTTGATGAAGACGGTCGAGGGAAGAAGCCATGAAGCGGCTTGCATACGCCAGTGATAACGTTGATTTTGCCCACGCGGCGGCGCATCATCAGGCGCTGCATCGCCGTGGCGCAGATTGCGTCCAGCCGCTAATTCGTCGTTTCCAACAGTCTGTTTAAAACAGTCCACCGCCTTCCATACAACTACCGAGATCAAATGCGTTCTGTACACGATGATCGCAACAGGTGTTTCCGGCGTGCGACCAAATTACCCGCCGAGACTGGCGACCACGTGGCTTCACTCTGCGCCTTTTCTTCTTCGATTTGCTTTGCAAAGATCACTTTTCAACATCCTCTCTGCATGACGCAAGCGCCGCCGATGCACCGCTACTCGCTGCCGTCCTCGGGCCACCGCTTGGACCGGACCCGTGTCGACATCCTGCGCGCGGCCGTGCGGGTCACGGACGACTTGCCCAAGCCCTGCCGCGCCAACACGTTCTTTGTCATGAAGGTCTACGACGGCTCCGACTACCATATCATCGAGCAGAGCTGGTCGGCCTTTCGGGAGCTCAAAGCGAATTTGCTCGCGGCGCTCGCCAAAGGCCACAAGTGCGGGAACGGACCGCTCTGCGGCCAGCTCCACGGGCACCTGAAGCGCAACTTTGACCGGCCAAAGAGCGCGAATCTGCGCATGTGGCTCCAGCTGCGTCTACGCCCGCACAAGGAGGTGGCGACAGCCCTCTTTCTTCAGCATTTTCAAGACCTTTTGGACACGCTTCTGGTCGTGCTGCGCCAGGACACGATCGACTGCGTCGCCTTTG